GGACTGAACTTTGACCCCTGCCTTTCTGTTCCTCTCCAGCACAGCCCTTCCATCACGGGCTGGATCGCTCTGTGGGTTAGGCATCTGGCTACAGACCAAGAGGTTGGGAGTTCGATTCCCCCACTGGGTCGCCCGGGAGAAGAGCCAGCCTGGGTGGCCTTGGGCCGGGCGGCCCATTCCCAGGATTTCCCTCCCCCAGGCGGCTTGTTAAAGGGATGCGTACCTCCCTTCTGAAGCCCACCGACACCACACCCAAGCAATCTGTGATTCTTAACCTCTTCTTCCAGAGTTTTTGGACTCTGTATCCCAGGAGGCGACTCTTGATTCTCGGCAGGATGCAGGATCTGCAATGTGCTTTTGCGGAAGAGTCTCCAGCCGAGACAAATAGAAGAGTAACTTTTCCAAAGTTATGATTTCGTGTGACACCAAATCTTCACAAACCTGAGTATAGACACAGAACAGAGACACACACACTGATGCTTTAGACAAGTCCCTGTGTTTACCTGTCAGTGACTCACCTGGACAGGTGCACCCGTTTCTCCGTGAACTGGCCTTGCCCATGGACAGGGTCTTCGTGGGGCTCATTTTTCACCACTTCCACCCCTTCCCCTTTGTCGCTCTCTTGGTGGCTGTGCTTGCTGATGGTGTACAGCTGCCCGACTCGGTACTGTGAAAAAAGGACGCAAGAGGTCAGTTCGAGATCATTCGTAGTGCGGCGAATGGCGAAAAGGAGCCCGGGGTGGGCTTAGGGTGAGTGGTTCAACACCTCTTATCCTTCCCGTTGGTCCCTTTTTGTCTTGTGGGGCAGGCAGAAAGCTCTGCACCAAGTCCTTTCGTGCTAGAAACACCTGAGGATTTTACATCGCACCACACAAAAATATTCAGAGCCTGGGAAAAGATGGAGGTGGCTTGGTGTGTGTTTGCTTTTTTGGAGGATATGCCCCAGAATCCCCCAGAAAAAGGGTGGCTGGCGCATGATGGGGATTACTGCAAGGTTGGGCGGTGCATTATGGGAATTGCAGTCCAAAGCTCTGAGGAGATCCGCGCCCTGTGTTCAACCACCATCATCCTCAATTCTAGTGCGGACCAACCAGAGGCTTACGGGCATGACTCTGGTTTTTCTACTGAAACCTCAAGGTCCATAAATTTGACCTCCTTATTAATGCCACATGTCTGAAGCGCCCCAAGGAGTAAGTTACTATAGTAATTAGCATTTTTTAAAAATATAACTTTTTTGTTATTCAAAAATAATACAAATAGGTAACTTTTCAGTTCTTACACAAACTTTTCAAGCTGTAATGCCAAATACGCCTGAATGGTGAGGCTCGGTAACTATAGAAATAAAGCAGGTCCACAATATGGATGGAGGGTGACTTCCACCTCCCTGCAGATGCCAGAAACTGGGGATAATAGTGAACCCTACTCCGCTTCCCTGAAAATAAGGCCTAGTATGATTTTTCCAGATACAGTGGTGCCCCGCTTGACGATTACCTCATTAGATGAGGAAATCGCTTTATGATGAAGTTTTTGCGGTCGCTTTTGCAATCGCAAAACGATGTTTTAATAGGGAAAACCGCTTTACGACGAATGGTTCCCTGCTTCAGGAACTGGTTTTTGCTTAACGACGATAACAGCTGATCGTCGGGTCTTCGAACTGGCCGCCCGCTGTGCAAAATGGATGGATTCCTCACAATACAGGCACCGGAAAATGGCCGCCCTATGGAGCATTATCCTCGTCAAACGAGTTACCATTGTACTCATAATAAAAGCCCTACCCCCCAAAATAAGCCCCAGTTAAGTGAAACCCTGCCCTCCACCTTTGTGCAGAAACCAGAAGAAGAGGACAGGACTATATTTGAATAAATGTAATAAGTGAAGTTATTCCTATTACTTATGACTTAATTATCAAAGAGAAGTATAGCTACTTATAACTAGATATCTCCCAAGCTCTAGTATACACTCACACCGCCTAAGGGTTTATGGAAAAGTGTGTCTCTGAGCATGTGCTCCACCTAGGAATTTGTGACTAGTCTCCATACCAAGCCCACGAGGTCTTTTCATGCCAAAAAAATAAAAAAATCTCCCTCTTTCTACTCCCCATCTCAGCGTTCCTCCCCCCCCCCAATTTTGGAGTTTAAAAGGAACAAACTTCTAAATAGTTGTTCGGGTTAATTTATTGGTAGGCGCTCACAAGCTTTGTGAAGCCACTCACCCCGCCCCCAAACCGATCAGGAGATCCCAGCCTATGTTCTCCTGAATTCCTCGTACATTGCCAAATTTGGAAAAGTTCCTTTTTAGGAACCCCATGTTCCCAATCTCCCGATCTGCGCGACTTTTCCTACCAAACAGTGCACTAACGATAAATTCATTTCCTCGCCATCCGCCTGCAGGCAGCCACCATGGCCCTATTCGTACGTAAGAGGAGGGTATACGGCGGGCCCAGGGAAGGCCCGAGATTCGCAGGAGTACAGAATGTCTTCTGGAGGTTGCGAGAGGCAGGCTGGGGAGAAACTACGAAACCCGGCGATAGAGCGCTTGTCAAAGTCCTCGTGAGATGCTCTCAGATGGAGTGGGTGGAAAGCCAACTCCGAGGGAGGGAAACGAACCACAGGATGGATGGATGGATGGATGGATGGATGGATGGATGGATGGATGGATGGATGGATGGATGGATGGATGGATGGATGGATGGATGGCTCGAAAGCCGAGGAAGGATTTCTGCACTGCAACATTTTGTGGCAGTTCCCACTCGTTCATGCTACATTTGGCCTACATTACAGGGTTGTTGGAGGAGAGACAGAGAGAATGTACTGGGAGTGCTTCGAGCATCACACGGTCTACCTCTGCTTGGAAGGGAATCCTATTGAACTCAATGGGGCTTGTATGATAGGGTTGCGCTCGTCTGGGATTTACCGATCCCAATTATTATTGTCTAGTAGTCTACTTTTCCCAAGCAAGAGGAGACCTGTAAATGGTATGTTTGCAAAATGTTCTACCATTTATTTGTCCTCAAAGAAAGAGGGAAGAAGAAAAGAGGGGGAAAAGTGGGGAGGAAGAAGAGGGTTTATTCCAAAGCAGACAAATGTTCCGATCTATTTTTGAAAATTCAGCTTCCCTGCACCCCTCGACGTGAAGTGTGTGGGGAGGGAAAAATCTGGAGTTTCACCACAAGAACAAAACATGCAGGAAGACACGATGGTAAGTAGATAACAACCGCCCACTCTGTCATCTGGCAGTCCTTGTGCTCTGAAACGCTCACACTGCCTCCAAACGCGTACAGTGAAAAGGTGCTCATGCTGAGGAATTTACCATTTTACTGATTCCTCCTCAACGCACCAGTGGGGGGGGGCGCTTCATGCTCCATTTGCCCAGGATCCCCACCCCCAAAAAAGGGAGATTTACCTGTCCAGAAAGGTTATGATGATCAGAGAATCCTCAAAAATCAAACAAATAGAAACCACCTTGAAGTCACTTCGAGTTTTCCTTGCAGGCTAGTGAAAGCCACAGCAGGGGGAAAAATATCCCAGATATTTTGAACTCGGCACCTTATGCGATCACCCTAGACACTTCTCTGCTGCCATTTCAGCATCATCCTCTGAGAGCTACAGAGCTGGAAGGGACCCTATGGAGGATGAAGTCCAGCGCCTGTCCAAGAGGCACCGTGGGGGAATCGAACCCCCAGCCGCTGGGTCCACAACCCCATAGCTATCCAGCAGGACCTCCCTTAAGAGCCATCTTTTCTACAAAGCCAATAACACAGCCTCCGGCATGCCGGGGCCTCCTGTAAACCCGTCTGCTGCTCATTACTAATTCATTTGAAATGCAGTGGCGAACGAGAGTGTTGGGTGGGTATTTCCAGAAAGACAAGTGAGTACTAGATCAAATCAAGCCTGAACTTTCTGTAAAGGTGAAAGTGACTTGACCGAGGCTGTCGTGGTTGGGTGTGTCATAAGAAACCGAGACTCACTGGAAAAGGCAACAAAGCTGGGGAAAGTGGAAGGCAGCAGGAAAAGAGGAAGAGCAGACATGAGATGGATTGAGTCCCTAATGGAAGCCACTGCCTTTGAGTAAGCAAGCACTAAGCAGGGCTATTATGGTTACAGATCCTCTACAGCAGTGGTCCCCAACCTTGGGCCTCCAGATGTTCCTGGACTTCAGCTCCCAGGAATCCTGGCCAGCAGAGGTGGTGGCGAAGGCTTCTGGGAGTTGTAGTCCAAGAACATCTGGAAATATCCCTTTGGCTCAAAAGGTCACCTGAAACTGCAAGGAGATGAGAGCTGAGTTTCGGACAAGGATACAGGGAGAAGCATCTCTCTGGAAGGTCAAGGATGAGTGACTCCGGATATCATCACTACCCCATCTTAGAGCTACAGAGCTGGAAGGGATCCTATAGATCATCCAGTCCAGCCCATGTCAAAGAGGCCCCGTGGGGGAATCGAACTGCAACCAGAGACTTTGACCACTGAGCCATCCATCAGCCCAGCTGGCTATTGCCATATCTTGGCCAGTTCTGCTAGGACTTTGCCCTTAAGAATCATCTTCACTGAGGCACAGGCAGAGCTTGGAAAAGTTAGTCCTGCAGACGGCAGGACCTCCCAGCCTGCGTATGGCCAACGAGACGGCCCTTCTGGAGGAGATCAACACATTCGGTCGCTGTTCCAAGCAGCATTTTCTCGCCAAGGTGTGCCTGAAGTCCAGAAACGGAACGTCGCCAACATTTGCTCCCAATTTCGACCGTGTCTCTCGAAGGTTTGAATTACTGCTTTGGGGAGGGCAGGACATTCAGTCCCTCTGCAGCCTCTGGAAAACAGAAAGCCATCCAGCCATAGCCGCCCAATGTTTGCATGCGAGAGCTTGAGTAACTATGGAAAAGAAAAAAACCTCAGCCATCAAATGCTGTTCTCCCGGGGCTGGCTAACCCTGACGCTCCCCAGGCGTCTGTCTTTACTTTCAGGAGAGGCAATCATTCATATTACACAACCGCCCTTAAAAATATGCTTTCTATTAGCTCGTTTCTTGGGTGTTTTTTAAAAAACGACTTTCCGTGTTAACCTCGGGCTCATTTAGAACAGATGTGTGGTTTCTCTCTTATTTTTCCTTCTTGGGGCGTAAAAGATTTTGTCGTCTTATAATTTGCATGTGTGCAAAATGAGAATGCTTTTGCAAGAGAAATGTTGATGAACATTCCAGGTATGCAAACGAAGCAAGGTTGCAAAGATGGTGTTTTGCACCTGGCCCAGGAAGGATCCGCAGACACATACTGGAACAGAGCCACATTTAAAGATTTGTGCATATATTTGCTTATGTGACACGGTTTTCTGGTTTTGGCCGGCCAAGGGGCAGGGAGCATGGAAAAACCCTCCAGGACTAAGAGGCAGCAATGTTTGCAAAACACACATGGTTAGGGTGTGTATTTGTGGAATATAAATACACACGGACATGTATACATGCTGACCTAAGCCCGCAAAACTCAATCAAAGCTCCCTTTACATTCTGATAGGACTTCTGGCTGTTTATAAGTATTAAAACATGTATATACAAACATGAGGTCTAGCAGCTTGCTTTAAAAAGTCAAAGAATTTTACAGTGCTTCCCATTTCAGAGAAGACACAACCGCAACACGAATCAAGGCATGATCTGCAATGTACTGAATTCACTTTTCTTTCT